CGCGAAAGGTGCCATAGTGGCCCTCGTTGAGATAGTACAACAGTTTCCGGGTGCCTCCTGGGAGAGGGGAGAGGACAGGACTGTGCTCAGCCAGGTCTCACCACTGATGGTCAACACTGAGTCCCACACCCTCAGGACCGGCCCAGACCCTCTTCCCAGCACTGGATAACCCTTGTGTCCTGCTTCACGAGCCTCCCCGGGTCTCCTGCAAGATTCGGGCCTGTTCTCTGGGCTCCCACGGCTCCTCTGCCCGACCCGCACCTCATCAGAGTGCTATGGCTGCTACTGCCACTAAAAATGATTGTACGAGTGACCCGGGCATTGTTCCAACCTGTGTGCACATATTTAATCATTTCATCCTCCTAACAACACTCTGAGTAGGGACAATGAACACTACTGTACATTTGAGGAAACTGAGTCTTGCCAGAAGTTACACAGGAGAATGGGGCAGGGCTGGGATTCGTGCCCCTGTCAGTGCCCGGCTCTCACAGACAGAGAGCAGCGTAATTGTCACCTCCTTCCCTCTAAATGCTCTGCCTCTGTTGATGCCTCACTGAGCACATGGCGGCTTCTCCCCAGTTCCGTCACACTCCGATGTACATTGAGCTGATGCTCACCTGCATGAACCTATGACCAGGAGGTTATGGTTCAACTCCCGGTCAGGGAACCCTGCCTGAGTTGTGGGCTCGATCCCCAGTGTGAGATGTGCAGAAGTCAGCCACTCAGGGATTCTCCCTGATCACTGATGTTTCTGTCTTTCTCTCTCCCTTTCCCTTCCTCTCTGAAATCAATAAAAATATATTTTAAAAATAAAACAAAAATTATTTAGAAATATTTATATGACGGTCATAACATTTCAAAAAGTAAAGGGCACTAACCCAGAAGGTGAGTCTATTCTAGCTCAACATGCACTTCAGTTTCCACTTAGCTCCCTTTGTGAGGACAGCAACCCCACCCAACCCCTTCCCACAAATAACATACAATCAATAACTCTCCTGAGATGGTTGACCTCAATATCATTTACTGTTACCCTACAAATGTCACCCTGAACCTCCAGGCCATGGTACCGACAATATTTCCTCATATGTTTGTTATAGAAATACTATTTACTCACGAGAACTTGGGTTCTAAAACTCCACGCCTGTTAGAAAATGCTTGCTTGGTAACAGTAAGGTGCATACCAGCAGGGGAGACTGTGGCCCATGAGCTGTGCTCTCAGACTTCCCCTCCAGACACAGGAAGAATAAAGACCCTCAATGCCTCCCTCCAGGCTCTCTGAGAACAACACAGTAACGTTACTAACAGGCTCTATCCTGTAGCTAAATCAAAGCATG